TAGGACGATTGAGGTTGCTGTGAGGCCGAGGGCTGACTCACCGGCACTCACTCTAGCCTGGGCAACAAAGTGAGACTCTGTCTCAAAAATAATAATAAAAGTTTAGGTCTTATTCGTGATCTTTGTATTTGGTCTCCTGAGTGAGGTGATACTCTGAGTAGTTTTAAATATCACTGGATGATTAATATGCATATTAGCATTAAACAAAAAGAGTTTACATGTAACAGTTAAATGAAAAGCATCGGTCTTACTGGGGCTTAGAAGCCAAAGAAACACGATTGAGCTCAAGGGACAGTTTCCACTATTAGAATATAGTCAGTGATTTTCCTTCTTCAGGATTTTGAAAGAACTTATTTTGGGGGGCACATAAAAGCACAGAGTTCTTGCATTAACGGCTGTTATTAGTTGGACCAAGTTTGTAGGCCAAAATTCTAGGACTTGGTGACTTAAATTTTGAGCCTTCGTATGTGGTTAACAGTACATGTTAAAACTGTAACCAGGTAGCTCTGAGTACATTTCTGAAATGCTTTACCACATACGTAGTGCATATGCTAATATATATTCCTATGTAATCCGATAATTAATAGGTTTGTTTATTGATGACTTTTTTACCTTATATTGATTGACTTGTTTCTTTCCAGATACTGTGATTGCTTTGCAAATGGCGAATTCTGCAATAACTGCAATTGTACTAATTGTTATAACAATTTGGAACATGAAAATGAGAGGCAAAAGGCAATAAAGGTGATTATTTTTCCTTTCATCTAACTGACAAAAAAATCTCGTTTCACCTGTTTTTCGAATAACTGAGCTGTCTCAGGAAGAACAGTGCCGATTCCCTGTGCAGCTCAGGTTTTAATCCCCTGCGGTTTCCCTTTGACTGACGTTTGATCTGCCCTGACAGGCCTGCCTGGACAGAAACCCAGAAGCCTTTAAGCCTAAGATAGGGAAGGGGAAGGAGGGCGAGTCGGACCGGCGTCACAGCAAGGGGTGCAACTGCAAGCGCTCGGGCTGTCTCAAGAACTACTGCGAGTGCTATGAGGTGAGCCGCTGGCGGGGGCGGATAATCTGACCATCTTTTTGGAACTGTTCTACAAAGGACGTACTGCAAAAGGGTGCCTGCAAGTTGCCGTTGGCATCTGGAAACGTGGGTCCAAAGGCCCTTGTTTGAGGACGGCCTCAAGCAGGGCTGCAGACGACCCTCCCCGGGGCTAGGCATCCCAGCCTGGAGCCTGAAGTCTCACTAGGTGACTCCCCAGTTTCTAACTGCTTGGTCATTATGCCCAGAAGCATGGAAATCAGACCACTAGTACACTGATTTTCAATAACAATAATAACATCAAAGTGGACTGGAGGCCGGGTGCGGAGGCTCACGCCTGTCATCCCAGCTCTCTGGGAGGCCCAGGCGGGAGGATCACTCGAGGTCAGGAGTTCGAGACCAGCCTGAGCAAGAGCGAGACCCCGTCTCTATTAAAAATAGAAAGAAATTAATTGGCCAACTAAAAATATATGGAAAAAATTAGCCGGGCACGGTGGCGCATGCCCTGTAGTCCCAGCTACTCGGGAGGCTGAGGCAGGAGGATCGCTTGAGCCCAGGAGTTGAAGGTTGCTGTGAGCGAGGCTGACGCCACGGCACTCTAGCCGGGGCGACAGAGTGAGACTCTGTCTCAAAAAAAAAAAGAGAGAGATCCGTTCATCTAATCCTACAGAGCAGGGAACGCTGTTTATTGTGTGTTGATTTGATTGCGGAATCTGCTTATGGTGATGATCTTTGGTTTTGACTTGGAAACTCTTCTTCTGTAAATCTCTCAGGCAAAAAATAATGTGTTCCTCCATATGCAAGTGCATCGGCTGTAAGAATTTCGAGGAAAGCCCGGAGAGGAAGACCCTGATGCACCTGGCGGACGCGGCCGAGGTCCGGGTGCAGCAGCAGACGGCGGCGAAGACCAAGCTGTCCTCGCAGATCTCCGACCTGCTCACCAGGCCCGCGCCCGCGCTCGGCAGCGGCGGGGGCAGGTGAGTCGGCTTTCTCTCTCCTCATAGCACTCCTCCAAGATTCTCAGACACTCTTGGCGAAATCTCCTTCCGGGGGGACCCAAAGTTGAGTTCACACTTCGGTTGTCGCAAACCTGATCGTGGCATTTTCCTTTCCGCCTTTAGTTACTTGTTGTCAAGGAAGTCAAAGGTAACAGAAAAACCGCTGTCAAAACACATTGTGCATGTCTGCCATCAGTTTACAATCACAGATGGCAAAAAGAAGAAAAAATGAAAATACTATTAAATAAATATAAGAAAATTAAAAAAATATATATATTGTGCAGTTCTAAAGTGCACAGTAATGCTTTAGTTCACTGTGCTTAATTTAGTTGGGTTTCTCCCAGCTAAGATGAAGTTAATATTGTAATTTGAGAACCTACCTTTTAGTGATACTGTAACTACTAAGATTTTTGCACTTTCTTACCTTCCTCTTGCCTTTTCCAAGTACCTTGGCGCACGTTTCCCATCCTATTGGACCATCCCACCACACTATAACATCGCAGTTCCTTTTTGCTATCTCTCCTTTTTTTTTTTTTTTTTGAGTCAGAGTCTCACTCTGTTACCTAACCTAGAGTGCTGTGGCGTCAGCCTCGCTCACAGCAGCCTCCAACTCCTGGGCTCAAGTGATCCTCCTGCCTCAGCCTCCCGAGTAGCTGGGACTACAGGCATGCTCCACTATGCTCGGCTAATTTTTTTCTATACACTTTTAGTTGGCCAGTTAATTTCTTTCTATTTTTATTAGAGACGGAATCTCGCTCTTGCTCAGGCTGGTCTCGAACTCCTGACCTTGAGCAATCCTCCTGCCTCTGCCTCCCAGAGTGCTAGGATGACAGGTGTGAGCCACCACACCCGGCCTTGAACTTGGACTTGTATCAGAAGTTTGTTAGAGGTTCATAGGAGGAGGAATCCTTAAATGGAATGAGCCTTGCAAATGGAATATTACTGAAAATGCCTAAGTTGAAGTCAGATCCATTACTTAAAAAAAAAAGTAAGGCTTTTTTTTGTATAAAATATCTCAGATGCTAGTTCCAGAGAACTCTTACAACTGGGATATATATAATCACCAAATGGTTCTTGACTGAATAAAGGAGAAATAGGTAGACACCTTACTAAGGGTAGGATCCTTGCAGGTCTTTTAATAATCCTTTAGATTATTACATCCAAATTTAGATTAGATTTTGAATGTCATCTCCATGTGGAGACTAAAGATATTGCTATAGTAAAATATTTACAATTCATTTTTCTTGTTGTTGTTGTTTGGTTTTTTTTTGAGACAGAGTCTCACTCTGTTGCCCGGGCTAGAGTAAGTACCGTGGCGTCAGCCTCGCTCACAGCAACCTCAGACTCCTGGGCTCAAGCGATCCTCCTGCCTCAGCCTCCCGAGTAGCTGGACTACAGGCATGCGCCACCATGCCCGGCTCATTTTTTCTATATATTTTTAGTTGGCCAATTAATTTATTTCTATTTATAGTAGGGATGGGGTCTCGCTCTTGCTCAAGACCTTGAGCAATCCTCCCGCCTCGGCCTCCCAGAGTGCTAGGATGATAGGCGTACAATTAAACCTGGGAATGTTGATGGTATGAAGTGAAAAAGAATACAAAATTGTATACTATAATCACAAAACTGTGTAAAAGTTATACCAGCATTTTAACAAGCTTTTATTTCAAGTAACAAACCTTGAATTCTTTTTCTTTTCTTTTACTTTTCTATAGTTTCTACATTTTGTACTGACCAGTTTTATTATATAGTTATTATGTTACTGTAATATTAAATTGTTCATCCTAACTGTAATTAACTTATTATTATTTTCTTTAGCACAGACACGGGTTAATATTATAATATTTTCTAAGTTAAAGTGCTTGTTTGAACATTTAAGATTTCTATATACCTGCATGGCAGCCTGAATTGTCAATTACTTTCTCTTGCCATAGTGTCGTAAGTTCAGACTTCATTTATTTATTCTTACAGTGTACTTTTATTCATGCCTGGTCACAAGTTGTTCAATTAGTAGTTACTTGATTTAATCTCTTACAGGCTTTAAGTCTTGACTTGGCTACAATATAGTAAGCCTAAGGATGGATTGCTCTAATTTCATAATAAATAGTTCAGATCTTTATGAATGCAGTTCTGTGTATAGAACAATATTTGGTTTCCCCATTGTTTTATTTGTTGCCATGGAACAATGCAGAATTTTGGTGTGTTTTCTTGTTGCTTTTCAAACCAATATCAGCAACTGTGGTAAGGTGCTTTATTTTTAGTGTTGACCCAGAGATAGTCCTTCAATTCCAAATATTACTCATTCATTCATTCAGCAAATATTTATACGTTGTCTGTATGTATCAGGCCCTCTTCTAGGCACTGGAATAAAATAGTAAATAAAACCAAGACTGCACTGGTGGGACTTACATTCATGAATTTAGAGGAGTTTAACTTCAGAAATATCCAGTCTAAGCGGAGCACGGTGGCTCATGCCTGTAATCCTAGCACTCTGGGAGGCCGAGGCAGAAGGATCGCTCGAGGTCAAGAGTTCGAGACCAGCCTGAGCAAGAGCAAGACCTGGTCTCTATTAAAAATAGAAAGAAATTAATTGGCCAACTAAAAATATATAGAAACAATTGGCTGGATGTGGTGGCGCATGCGTATAGTCCCAGCTACTCGGGAGGGAGGCTGAGGCAGGAGGATCGCTTGAGCCCAGGAGTTGGAGGTTGCTGTGAGCGAGGCTGACGCCACGGCACTCACTCTAGCCCGGGCGACAGAGTGAGACTCTGTCTCAAAAGACAAAAACAAAAAGAATCCAGTCTACATGTAGAATTGCCTCTTTTAGTTAAACCAGATAACCTGGTCTAGGTAATGTGTCGTGTGTTTTATGTTAAATGTTACGTACAGTTCCTGAACCGTCTGTTAAAGACATTCTCGATAACGAAACCGGGTCTAAGTCTTGGAAGCTGTTCTAGGGTGTGCTCTGCGCTCAGCGTTGGACGGGGACGCTCCTTTTGCCGGCGAATCCCGGCGGCGTCAGTCGCGATTGTCAGACGAAAAAACGTTGCCCGCCTCGGTCGCTGGCGCAGCGCCGGCCTCACCTCTTTCTCTCTGTCTCTCTTGGAAACCCTTTCAGGTTGCCATTCACGTTTGTCACTAAGGAAGTGGCCGAAGCCACGTGCAACTGCCTCCTGGCGCAGGCCGAGCAGGCGGACAAGAAGGGCAAGTCCAAGGCGGCCGCCGAGCGCATGATCCTCGAGGAGTTCGGCCGGTGTTTGATGAGTGTCATCAGCTCGGCGGGCAAAGCGAAAAGCGACCCTTGTGCCATGAACTGCTGACTCCCGCGCGAACACCGGCCAGTGGAACGGCACAGAAAATGGAAGGTGCAGGGCCACTCGGTTTTCTGGAAGATAGCTTAACAATTACCGTATTTTAATTCAGTCCTTGTTTTAAGAGACCTGAAACCATAATACTGAAAGAGAAAAAAGAGTTTTAAATGAGGAAATTAGTATGTTTTAAACCTCATTAGTGGAATCTGCTTATGCCCCTTCTAAATTGAATTTTCCTTTATTGTATTTATATAGATTTTTAATTTGCTTGGGTTCCTTCAGAATTAGATGTTCTATCCTTCTGATTCCGTCGACAAAGAACATTTATAAATGACTCTAATTTATAATGGACGGTGTTGTATGACTTTGTTCAGTAGGAAAAGCCAGAGCAGCAGTGGCTGCTCCCCAGTCATTCTTTAGGGCCAGATCTAGAATGTGTCCAGGTAGAACGTCCACCTTTCATAAGCAAATGCTAACGAAACATACAGAGATGACGTTTTGCATTTAGAAAAAGCGCTGTCTTTTAAAGGAAAATCAGCATTTTAGGTTGGATCCTGGAATAATATCCTGTTGTCACTTTGGGAGTGTCAGAAGGGGAAGCCATCCCTGGGTGCACTTTTAAAATTAAAAAAAAAAAAAAAAAATTTTTTTTTTTTAAAACATATAAAATATGAAGGGACAGTAAATAATTCTCAGAGGATGGGCAATATACTTCTGGAATAAGGAAGGGCTAACAGATGCTTTGGGGATGTCTCTCCCATTTTCTTTCACAGAGGTGGTATGTACTTGAAACGATAATAAATTGTCCGAGTGATTACTGGGTACTGTTAAAATGAGAGGTGTGTACAAGTAGAGGTGAACATATCATTATGTAGTGATGACCTAGGACCTCACATAATTATCACGTCTACAATTTGGCCTAGCTGAAGAAATGACAGAACACGGCAGCTGTGAGAGATGAACTGGAGAAGGATTTGTCATCCGTACAAACAGTTCTCTTTGTAGACTTTTCAACTAACAGGTTTCAAACCGACGCATGACTCTTCCTTGATTTCCTGAAAGGGCCTCCTAGCAAAGCTTTCACAATTACAGCGGGAAAAACTCTTTTTATAAAGGGACGTGTGGCATTATTTTTAGCCAGTGATTTGGTAAGCTGCAGGTATGAGTGTTTCTCTGTAATTACTAAAGTAATCTGAATCATTTTCAGTAATTCAAAAACTCTATGAATTTAAGAGCCTGTTATGATAGGACTCTTGATTTTATGACAACAGAAAACCATGTTGGAATCCAGGCATTTTGTTAGGTACCGTAATCCTCGGTGATTATTAGCATATGATTATTGCATTTCCTATAAGGACTCCATAGTTGTTGTATGTATTAAGTGTGTATATATGTTCATATGAACATGCAAGATATAGGCAATAGAAATTAAGTAATCCAAAAGAGGATTCCGTTATGCATTAAAGTATCTTCCCTTTGAAATTTGGATTTATAAAATTATAGTGCAGTAACTTTAAATGTAGATAGTGCAAACATTCTTAGCACCTCAATCTAATATGTTTAATTAAAATTTGTATAAATGTAAATTAGTGTAAGAGGATAAAATATCTAATCAAGTTATTTTTCAAAAGATTGCAATAAGTTTTTGGTCTAAACCTAAACTTTGTTCATTTTGTACATAGTCTGTGTTAATTCTAATTGCACCTTTGTGATGTGTATTTATATACAGTGTGCAGAAAATGTTTGTGAAATTCTGATTACAATTGTAGATTATGTATGATGGCATTGCTTAAGAATGTTTTGCTTGTAAAAATTTGAAGGTGCAATCAAATGCTACTAGTTTTTCTGATTTCCAAGAAGCTATCTAAGATATTAAGCCTTTTCCTTCCTGTGTAGTACTTACTAAACAACTTTTGTATTTAGGCATTTGCATCAAATTGCTGAACGAGATGAATAGCCACATTAATTCAACGATTTTAAAAGACTATTTGGGGGAGGGTTGGGTATATAATTTTTTAGCTCTATTTACATCCCAAAGTAGAAAGATTAAATTTATATTTACTAGAGCTATTCAAAGAATACACTTTTCTATATTGTAAAAACAGGACAGCAAAGTAAATCATACAGAAAATAAACATTTATACTATTCTATAAAAAAAGGTTTTGCATTTTTTTCTTTAGTGTAATAACACCACTTTAAACCATTCAACATGCAAGAAACCTTTTAAATTATCTGATTTTCAAGTAAATTTGACATTACTTCTGGAAACACACAACTAAAAAATTCTACCATTTTGCCCAATTATCACGAGCATAAATTGCTTTGGAATGAAAATATATGTCTTCTTTCTTTTCCCACTGTTTGTTTTATGAGAAGAAAATCTCTCTTTACTTTTAATGTGTGATGTTCTTATGAAGACCTTTCCTGGTTTCCTTTCCTCTGAAGAACTAAAAGCAACCTCTAGGTCTTCTCTCTAGACTCTGGGAATCTGAACCTTGATGTTATAGGGACTCCAGGCAGAGCAGTGATTTGGGGGCGGGGGGCATGCTTTACATCTCCCCAGTTTTTGATACTGAGCAACTGCTATTTCCTCAGTCTTATGTAAAATGTGAATAAAAATACCTATAGAAAAGTTTTCTATTTTTATTGTTCTGTAACACAAATAGTTAAGAAAATGAATGCTTGTTATGTAAATGAAGCTTCAACAAACCAGGGCCTCCAGTCCTAACTCTGATCATATTGCATTCCTCATCAGCATCTACCGTGTTTCCCCGAAAATAAGCCCTTGCCATAAAATAAGCCCCAGCAGGATGTCTAAGCACATGCACAATAGAAGCCCTACCCCGAAAATCAGCCCTAGTGATGGGCGTGGCTATGGAAATAAGCCCTGGTGATGGGCGTGGCTATGAAAATCAGCCTTGGTGATGGGCGTGGCTATGAAAATCAGCCTTGGTGATGGGTGTGGCTGTGAAAATCAGCCCTGGTGATGGGCGTGGCTGTGAAAATCAGCCCTACTGACAGGCGTGGCTATGAAAATCAGCCCTGGTGATGGGCGTGGCTATGAAAATCAGCCTTGGTGATGGGTGTGGCTGTGAAAATCAGCCCTGGTGATGGGCGTGGCTATGAAAAATCAGCCCTAGTGGTGGGCATGGCTATGAAAATCACCCCCAGTGATGGGCGTGGCCATGAAAATCAGCCCTAGTGATGGGCGTGGCTATGAAAAATCAGCCCTAGTGGTGGGCGTGGCTATGAAAATCAGCCCTAGTGATGGGCATGGCTATGAAAAATCAGCCCTAGTGGTGGGCGTGGCTATGAAAATCAGCCCTAGTGATGGGCGTGGCTATGAAAAATCAGCCCTAGTGGTGGGCGTGGCTATGAAAATCAGCCCTAGTGATGGGCGTGGCTGCGCAGCGCATCTGCACAACCCATGCGTGTCGTCGCGGAGCGGGAAAGAACACGAGCAGCCCTTCTCACCTGCCCCGTGAGAGCTCTAGTGCTCCACAGGAGAGATTGGGCCGGTGGCTCTAAAGGAAACAGAGTCGCAAGACATTCAGGATGGGATTCGGGGTCTGGAGAGTGAGGATGATGTTCCAGAAGAAGACACCTTCACTCTATTTGAATCAGTGTAGACCGTTGTACCGTACTTAAAAAAAATAACTCATCCCCTGAAAATCAGCCCTAGGGTGTCTTCTTGAGGAAAAATAAATAGAAGACCCTGTCTTATTTTCAGGGAAACACGGTACATAGGAGTTTTGGTGTGGCCACCCAAAGCAGAGCTAAGCAGTCTTGACTACTGGAGGTATTTTCTATTGTTACAAATTATTTAAGGTTTGTTTTCTTCTTTTCAGGAGTTCTTTAATGCAGATTTTATCATTATCTGCAGACAAAGTGTGTGTGAGCTTTTTTTCATCCAAGTGATTTTATAAGATGAAAGCTGTAAAGGCTTTTAAAAACAAATTTCCAAATGGTAAATTTTATGAAAATATTTAAAACATTCAAAACATTCTTAGTTTCTATTCAAAAGCAATAGGAAAACAATTATATTTAGGATACTGTATATTATAAAGCCACAGGGACTTTACTGTAACTCTATTATATTATATAAGTAAATGAAATCTGGCGATATATAAAATGAATACATGACCAAGTAGGATTTAGCCCAGTAATAAAAGGTCGATCTGATAGTTTAAAAAAAATCAATTTAATTCACTGTATCACCACACAAGAAAAAACTCAATGATTATCTCAAAAGTTGCAGAAAATGATTTTGTCATTATGTGACTTTGCTGAATTGTGTGCTTTAAAAGGGTAAATGCTATGGTATGTGAATTATTTTCAAGAATTTTTCCTCCAAAATGTGCAGAGAAAAGTATCTGACAAAATTCAACACTCATTTATGATTCAAAAAACAAATAAGCAACTCTTGAGCAACCTATTGATAATAAATCTGATAAAAAGCATTTACAAAAAAGCCTCCAGTTAACATACAGATGGTGAAGAATGAGTTTTCTCTCTAAGACCGGGGTCAAGCCACTTGTATTTGACACTATGTCAGAGGTCGCTGTACAGAAAAGGGGAAAAGAAGTCCCATAGATTGGAAATGAATAAATAAAACTGTATTTGTAGGTGATGTGGTTGCTTATATACAAAAACCATGTAAAAGAAAGCTAGGATTGGCCAGGCGCGGTGGCTCACGCCTGTCATCCTAGCACTCTGGGAGCGAGGCGGAGATCGCTCAAGCTCAGGAGTTCGAGACCAGCCAGAGCAAGAGCGAGACCCCATCTCTACTATAAATAGAAATTAATTGGCCAACTAAAAATATATAAAAAATAGCCGGGCATGGTGGCACATGCCTGTAGTCCCAGCTACTCGGGAGGCTGAGGCAGGAGGATCGCTTGAGCCCAGGAGTTGGAGGTTGCTGTGAACTAGACTGATTCCACGGCACTCACTCTAGCCTGGGCAAGAAAAGTGAGACTCTGCCTCAAAAAAAAAAAAAAAAAAGAAAGAAAAGAAACTAGGATAAATGAGTTTAGCAAGGTTAAACTCATAGACTCAAGGTTAAACTACTAGAATCAATGAGTCACTTTGCAAAAAGTTTTGACAGTTCATTATAAAGTAAAAATGCACTTACTATATGACGCATTGCATAGATACAGCACATTTTTATTTAACCATTTACTGGTCGACATTTAGGTTTTTCCCCACTTTTTGGCTATATGCTGCTATGCAGTCAGTAGCTGTCCAACTGCTTGTGTGGACACGTTTTCATTTCTCTAGACACGCCCAGGAGTAGCACTGCTGGCTCGTAGGTAACTGTTTAACCTTCTGAAGAAGGTGCCAGGCTATTTTGCAAAGCACCTGCGTTACCTGCACAATTTAAGAGTCTCACCACGAGTGTATAAGAGTTCCGCAACTTCTCCAAATTCTTGCTACTACTTCATCTACCTTGCTATATGGCTATCCTAGTGGGTGTGAAGTGACATCTCATTGTGACTTGCATTTCCTGGATGTCTGATGGGAACATATGTTCATGGGCTTTATGGCCATTTGTATATATTTCCTTTGGAGAAAAAGTCTATTCGGATTCTTTACCCATTTAAAGCATACGGTCGGTTTGTCCTTTATTGATTTACGAGTTCTTGGCACTTATGATTTGCAGTCAATAGACTGTCTTTCACTTTCTTGACGGTATCCCTTCAAAGCACAAGTCTTAAATTTAGATGAAGTCCAATTTATTTGGTTTTGCTGTTCCTGCTTTTGGTGTCTTATTTAAGAAACCACCATCTAATACAACCCAAGTCTCAAAGATTAATTCTATTTTCTAAGAGTTTTATTATAGTGCCACCTTCCTGCTCTGCTGCCCAGGCTACAGTGCCGTGGCGTCAGCCTCGCTCACAGCAACCTCCAACTCCTGGGCTCAAGCGATCCTCCTGCCTCAGCCTCAAGCACCTGGGACTACAGGCACGCGCCACCATGCCTCGGTAAATTTTTAGTAATATTGTTTGTAGAGACGGGTGGGGAGTCTCCCTACGTTGCTCAGGTTGGCCTCAAACTTCTAGCCTCATGCAGTCCTCCTGCCTCGGCCTCCCAAAGTGCTAGGATTACAGGAGTGAACTACCACGCCCAGCTGGCATTACCTCTTACATTTAAGTTTTGACTCATGTTGAGTTCGTTATTTTGCATGTGGTTATCCCGTTGTCACAGCACTGTTTATTGGAAAGTAGGAAGGATACATTTTTAAAGGGAACATTTTTTTTTGTGAAGAAAATAAAATGACACAAAGACGCAGAGTAGAAATTATAACCAAATTACCCTATACATGAATCAAGTATGAATGAATAATTTATTTCGCTGTAAAGCATATCAAATAAATCTGATCTAAGACTTTAAACCCTTTCACAAGTGAAGGAGCAATTAACTGGGCTAAAGGAAGTGAAGGAAATATTCTTATCTTTAGTGTTTGCCCAATTTATCCAGCATTTAGAGAAATAATGCGAAATTCTAATTTCTTCAAACACAGACGCTGTTAGTACGTAAGTCAAATGCAATGGCCAGGAACAGCTGACGGCGCAGAAGGGAACTTGGCTTCACCTAAATACCAGGTAGAAAACTTGGGTTTACATGAGGGATAAGTTACAAACGGTGGTTTACAAACAGGCTTCCTTTAAATCAGATTTATTCTGGTGTGTTTAAACTCAATCCTATCTGCAAAAAAACAAAAACCACAATGCGCAGACTTCTCAACCATAGCTTTTGAAACACTTGTAGTGCGGCACTGGTTACGTTTCAAAACAGAAACCTTTGCTGGAGATGGAATAAACAAATATATCAAAATATGCTTTCTAAGGGGAATCTCAATGAATATCCTTTTACCGAATCATTAATCTCTTATAATTTGAAATTTGCATGTTAGGATTAACTATACTTTGTGAACGCGTATTCAATGACAAAAAAGGGCAGATGTTTTACAAACGCAGGTGAATAACGTGTTGTGTCTTCATCCATTAAAATCCTTCCATCTATGGAAGTATATGTACATACCTATTTTTTTTTTTTTTTTTTTTGAGACAGAGTATCACTCTGTTGCCCAGGCTAGAGTGAGTGCCGTGGCGTCAGCCTCGCTCACAGCAACCTCCAACTCCTGGGCTCAAAAAGAGA